GGCAGCCGGCCTTCCCGAAAGCCCGCCGTCAGGGCCCGTGGGCAGCCAGGCCCGCAGGCCGCCCCTTCAGCTGCAACGACCAAGGAAATGGTCGTAAAGCCAAAAACTTCGTGTGCGCGGAGGTGTATGCGCACCCACACCTGATCCGATCCGCAGCCCAGCCCAGAAGCGCCGTTCCGGGGGTGCTGGTTTCCTTCGCGGCCCCGGAGCTGCCCGGATCTGTCAAATCACTGACCGTCGCCCTTTAGTTTGTGCTGGTGGCCGTTGCGCTCCTTGGACGGGCGTTTGAGTTTTCAGTCTGGGCGTTTTCAGGCCAGAGCTGCCTTTGGACTGAAAGTGATCTGCCAAGAGTGCTCTTCCTTCTTTTCTTTCTCACCCTTTCCTCACTCCATCTCTGCGTTCTATGTGTTCCTGTATTTTCTGAGTCCAGCTCTCTGAGGTGTAGGTTGGCATGCCTCACTGAGTTTGAAACACGTGTGTGGTTTGGTTTGGGTTTTTTTGATAAAATTTGACCTGTGTGGCCGAGGAGACTTTTCCTGGCATAACAGTTTAGCAAATCTTTCATAGAAGTTGAATGCAAAATAATGTGAAGATTAACCAGTAACTGCTATTCTGTTGAAACTTCTGATGGTCAATTCTATGGTAAAACCAGATTTAAAAAAAAAAAAAATGCCAGAGCGGGGTGTGTGTTAGGTATTACAATAGTTATGCAAATCTTCTGCTACATGGAAGAAAAAGTTATGTTTAGAGCACGAGGAGAGGGCATTTATAGAAAATTAAATGTTTGCCTGCATCTGTTGGCATGAAAGATAGTAGCTGCTCAGCTGGTTGGCAGAATATCGATGTAATGCAAGTGTTCTTTTAAATCTATCCCTGCAGAATATTGTTTCTATGTTCTTTGAAAACTTTAGGTTAGAGTGGTTCTAACATCAGTGTTTCTGATGTTCTTGCTGAATCCAGCTACATAGGAAAGTTCTGCTTTTTATTACAAAAAATGCAGCTGAGAGGGGGAAAACTTGCATTGATTATTAATAATAATTTATTGCATAATTCAAATCCACAGGGATTATATATTCCACGTGGCATTTGCCACGGATATCAAGTGTGTGAATGGTCTATTTTCTTTCCCAACTAGTTATTTTGACAAATTACAGACTTTTCAAATTAGCATAAAGTAACAGAGGAGTAGCTGCTGTTGATAGAGGATTCATTGTAAAGGAAAACAGCTTGAGTCTGGAAATTTGGAACTGTTTTTTCTATAATTCTTTTATAATGTATTTTTGGATTGTTAGGGGTTCCAAAAGTATGTTTGAACAAAGGGGTTGTCACTGGATAAACATCTGTTACTGATTCCTGGAAGGAAAAAATATTGGTATCAAATTAAAGGCAAGGGTAGGTTTTTTTAATGTAGGAATTTCAGTTACAAAAATAATTTCTGTTTCAGATATTTCTGTGAAAGTGAACTATATATATATTTTTCTGATGAGAGCTTACTAGGTTTGGTATAGAAACCTGTCTCTACCAATAAAACTGTTGATGTGGAGGAAGAATTGGTTCAGGCAGTAAACAGAAACTTCTTGCAGTGGAGTTGAAGAAGTACGAACACCTGCCTGGACTTGACATAGGGGAAAGACTTATCTTCAGATTAGCACAGTTAGAAGATGAAAAGATTTAATATACCTGAAAATAAATAGTAGTATGTTATGTGTGGCAGTATTCATCTGCATAACACATACGTAACCTTTATATATGAATACTTGAAGATAAAAGTATTAAGTTATTTCAAGTAGACAGGAAAAAAAAAAAGCTTTTCAGACTTCATATTTTCCTCAGATGTTATTTGGGTAGTCAGCAAAAGCATCATGTCCTTTTATCTCGAGGGGCCTGGAAACACTGTGTGTATATGCTTACAGTGATACTTGGACACAAGTAGGTCTGATGAAAAAAGCAATAGCACGCACAAAAGCAGCGTTTAGTAGGTGCTTTTGAAAAGCAAAATTTAAAGATGATGTGAGGAGTCTAAGTATTGTCCATGCTGTTTCTCGGATTGCTTAGGTTGCTAGAGGAAGTAGTCTGTTTAACTGAAAACCTGAGAGGAGTGGCAGGTCTCTTTTTGGTAACAACTTAAACTCATTTTGGTTAATGTGGCTGTATTTATGTCTTGGTCTAGGACAAAACTTTTGGCCTAAAGAATAAAAAAGGTGCAAAACAACAGAAATTTATCAAGGCTGTGACTCACCAGGTTAAATTTGGTCAGCAGAATCCACGTCAGGTAAGCATTTATTCTGTAATAGTCAAATCACCTTTCACTATACATATAGATTGTCATAAGCTGAGATGTTACTTGCCTAATGTATTGTGACTAGCACAGATTTAACTCTTGTAAAGCTTGTCTACCTGAGAATTATGTACCTGTGTAAAGGTAGTACAGAGTATGGGGATTTGTGGGTTTTTTTTAAAAAAAAAAAAAACAAAGAACACACAAAAAACAACCCCCCCAAACCAAATTCAACTAATAAAGGTGGGGGGTTTGTTCATATAGTATTCTAATAGTAACATAATTAAGTTTAAGGTATGTTTGAAATTAAGTTGTAGAAGCAGGCTATCAGCAAAGTACGGTCGTACATTCTGTCTCTTTTTTTTTTTTTTTTTTTTTGATTCCTATCTAATCTAAGAAATAGTAAACGGTTAAAAATAAAAATAGTTGTTCCTAATACAAAAACTGGAATTGGGGGAAGATATATAAAAGCATAAGCCCATGCGTGCTTGTTGTTCTACTTGTGGAAGTATTTATTATAATTTAAAGTGGAAACAAGTCTGACAAGTCTGTACCTATTGTGTGAACTGGTCAAAGAAACTGAAATTTTGAGCCACTGTCATCTACTCTGCTTATCGTGGGTGGGGTGAAGTAAAACGCAATGTGGTTGAGATACAATGTTTAGACTATGCTTAACTAGAAAGCACAGATTTCATGAAAGTATTACTATAACGGAAGTGGGCCAGGTCTCTTATTCCTGCAGTGCTGGGGAAACTACTTGTTAAGTGTTTACACAGCTTCCTATTCTATGAATAAGCCTGTAGAATAATTACATTTACGTCAGCTAAACTGACCATGTCATAATTTATGTTAAATTCTTTATATAACATAAGGATGAAGTGATAAATGTCAAATACAACTTTAAAAGTGAAGTTGGTATTCAGGTCATTAGATCTAATAATTTCTTGTGGTGGAAGGGACTCCTTGATGTCACTTCAGAAACGTTGGTGTTACTCAAACAGCCCTTCTGAAATTTCTATATGAAATCCCTGAATCTGTAGCATGTATAGGAATACTAGTACGTAAATTAGCCAACCTAAAATAATTTGTTTCTGAAATGTTCATAGCTATTGACTGATGGATGTCAGAAGCTAATTTTTAGGCCTGATTTTGCCTTTCTTACCGTGTAAAGTAGTTGTCAGTTGGGGTTGTCACTGAGAAAGAAAGAACACTTTAAAGCAATTTTTCTTGTGTCCTGAGATAAAAATGGAAATGCTGTCAAGGTTTTACTGGTTTTGTGTTTTGGTTTGTTGTATTTTTTTTTTAAAAAAAAGGCAAGCTTCATTTTCATATGTTTATTAGAGTCCTATGGTGAAACAAAAGCATTCTTAATGTACTACTTTTTGTAGTTGACATACATGGGTCTGCATGTTCCATAAAACAGGACTTGTGAACTTTCCATACAAAAACTGACCAAACTAATCAATCAATCCCCTTTTAAAACAATTTGGTGTGTTTTTTGACAAATTCACCATAACAACAAATCTCCTTGTTTAATATTACACTGTATTTTTACTAATAAGATGCCCCACATATTTGTATAGTGGTATTAGTCTCACTAGGTTCCGTTAAGGATAAGATTCAGATAATCTAATGACGTTTCTCCCATGTCCACTTTCATCTGTCTTCATCCCTCTCTACCACTCTGATATAGATACGGGCCTTTTCTGGCTTATCCAAAAAGGGTAAGGCAGAGTCAGGTTTTTTCTTATGCGCATACTTTTCCTTTCCTAGGTGAGCTTGGTTTTCAGTCCTTGGCCCCTACTAACTATGAAATGAATGTTCTTGTCTTATAAACTATTTGTTATCAAAGAAACACTGATATGTTGATTGATTTAAATTCAGACAAGTCATGTTCTTAAAGCAGTTCCCAGCTTCTAAGGACAGATTCACTGGAACTGCTGCTGGTATACACAAAGAGAAGGAACAAAGCAGCATGTAGGGGGCTAAAGATAGAGAGGCTTTTTGCACAGACTGTGCAGTAACTGCATTGAATAGTTGCACTCCTGATGTATCACAAAAGAGCAACTAACTTTTCCCTTCCTGATCTCAATACTTTTCACTTGATTTCCTAGCCTGTAAAGGTGGAATAGAGGTAACTCTGTCACCTAATGGTACCTTCCAGCCTCTCTGACAAGTTAGGGTTGAAATGTCTTCTGCTTGAAAGGTCAGTACCACTAGATGGCACTGGCCATTCATGAAAGGGCAGGAATTCTGAGACATTCAGAAATCAGGTTCTTTCCCTCCTCCCCTTAAACTAATTTAGAATGATTTGCTATTTTAATGTACAGCTCATGTGAAGTGAGTAATGTTTTTCTGATTTTATATTAATAACTTCAATTTTGGGGTCATTACAGGCTGCTCAAACAGAAAGTGAGAAGAAATTAAAAAAAGAAGATAAGAAAAAAGAATTACAAGAATTAAATGAACTGTTCAAGCCTGTGGTTGCTGCACAGAAAATTAGCAAAGGTATGGGTAACTGAGTTATTTTCATTTATGTTCTCTTATTCATATGTGTGCTTTGGGTAAAATAACCCTTTAAAAATTCAGTTTCATTTTTTTATAAAGTAGATATGTCTGTTTCATTCTCTGTCTAGTGTACCAAGTAGTTTGTCAGTAACAATTAGACTTTCTTTTTAGGAATTTATGTTGGTATAGTAGATCATTAGACTATCAAAAACTACATTGACAGGGCAGGTGCAGATACTTTGCTGTATTCAGCTTCATTAATTAGATGCTTCTGGTTGAGTGGCATGATTTTTTTGTGTGTGTGTCTTTGATGGTATTTGTTTAAAGCAGCCTGTCTCCCCAGGGAAATGTGAACATCCAGGTATTACAAGGAATATAATGTGATAGCTGTTGTCTTCACAGAACACTTGTATTCAAATCAGAACAGTAAAAATTTTCCAATTCCTTCTGTCCCACCTTACAATTGACAGTAGGACTTGGTTTCACAAGTGTGGTTTTACTCAAAGTCAGTTATTGAACAAACTAGTTTTGTGATGAAATGTGAGTTTAAGAGTGTCTGATACTTCTAGGAAACTCTACAATTTGCTGCCATGTGAGGGGAAAAAAAATACTTTTAGGTATGAACACAATGTCAACTCTTTGCTTTATTAATCTTCTGGAACTAATGATGTTACACAAAATGATTTTTGACTAAACAAGTGTGGCTTCCATATATGTCTTCAGAGTAAACCTGGTATTTGTCTGTTGTGGCACTTTGTAGCAACAAAGGACAGTTTTCTGTTTGTGATCTGCAGTGGTCAGCTTTCTCCCGATGAAGTAGCTCTTGACTTAAAGTTATTTCACAAGACTAATATTGTCCTAATTAAAGCTTTGGCTTTCCATTGAGATTACCAACAAGGAGAGCTATATTACCTGAAGTTCTTTTAGGGATCCACTTAGTGTTTAAAACCTGGATTTGTAGTTAGGATTTTCAGCAGGTGTTGCTGTACATACTCCAGTCACTAGTGACTTGCACCAAGCATAAAATCAGTAGTTTAAAAACTCAAGCTGAAAATCTTACATAAGCGCATCATGAATTCTACAAGTGAACTGTTTCTGATTTAGTTGTGCTTCATAAATGAGTTTATACCTGCTTTTATTTCTTTGCTTGCCTCCTAATGGTCAAATAATGCCTTCAGTGGGATGATATTTACTTAAACTGTAGTTAGGTTGATTGAATAGTTCATACTATTGCATATACAGTTGCTTATTTTGGGGACTATGAGCAGCCATCTTATTTCTATTACTATAGAAAGTGATCTGAATGAGTGCAAGTTAGATTATTATCATTTATTCTAGTGTGGTGTTGATCTGTTAAGGAAAGGCTGACATCCAGAAGATGCTTTACTGTGTTAGAGGCAAAAATAGCTTATTGTATAGGGAAGAAGTTGCATAGAGTGGTATCTCATATGTATTGTATTATATGAATAATTCGCCTGCTATCCATATTTCTTTAAATAGTCAAGTGCCCGCTTTGATACTTAATGAAAATATCATGCTATGCAAAGTAAATACGACACTTTCAGGACGTGAAGTATTTACTTGTGATGAACATAAAAATAATTTTCATTTTTCAAAACCTGTTTTCTCTGCAGATCCTAAAGATGGTATGATCCTAGACATTTTTCTCAGAACTTTTAATGTACAGCTTTTGCTTAAAAATAGTATTAAAATATAAAAACTTTCTTCACTCAGGTGCTGACCCCAAATCTGTAGTTTGTGCCTTCTTCAAGCAAGGACAGTGCACTAAAGGAGACAAGTGCAAGTTTTCTCATGATTTGTCTTTGGAAAGGAAGTGCGAAAAACGAAGTGTCTACATTGATGCACGAGATGAAGACCTTGAAAAAGGTATAATACTTCCAGAAAACTACTGCTAAACTATTCCGATTCTGAAACTGGATTTCTAAGATTAAGGGTAGTCTTGTGTTGTGGTTATGGTCCTGAAGAGCCTAGTCAATGGCTTGGGCAACCCATAGCGCTGCATTCAAAGTCATGGACAACAGTTAAACTTGCTCTAAAAAGCATGCTTACGAGTATTCTTTAGACCTTATTTAGAAAAAGAAGTATGACCTAGCAATACTGGGTGGTGGGTTTTAAATTCTGCTGTGTAACCTATTATGTCATACAAGTAGCATGTTGTACAGTATTTGGTCTGTCTTACAGTTGCTGGTTACTTCTAAGTTTTATAATAAAACAGAAGTGCAAGAGGAGGAAGTGTAATGAGCAACCGTAGTAGCCTTCCAGAACTATTACTAGTGTTTGCCCACATGTGCCCAGTTCTAGAGTTCAGGATACTTTGGAATTTTTTCTGTGACTTTATCTCCTTCCCCAAATCACTTGTTGGCCAAGTACTCTGGATTTTACTTTTACTTAGCAGGGGTTAGAAATTTTATAGTCAAAATAATATCTTTTGGTTTTCCACGATTCATTGTGTCTCAGTCTTTATTTGAATTTTAGCCTCTGTCATTCTAAATGATTATGACAGGATTCCATATATTCACTACTACTGTTACCATTGGTGATCTTCTTTTGATGGAACCTTCTTTTAACTTTAACATGGAAAATTTGGCATGATCTCTTTCAATCCTCGTTGTATTACCTGTGTTTCTGGACATTAGCCGCCAACCTTTTCTTTTATTCAGTCCACTTCCTTTTCTTCTTTTTCCTTGTGCACACTTGATAGTGTGGAGATGGCATGGCACATTTTTTTAGTCTTTAACTGAAATACACTTTATGCATGTCAAAATATAAATTTCTAAGGCTTTTGAGGAAATTGTCTCGTGAGCAGCATAGGAGAGTTTGAAAATTTTATTACAAAAGCCTGAATTTATTTTCCATTCTATGAACTCACTAGAATATAAGAATTGCATATTAAAACTGTTACTAGTGAGAAAAGCAACTTGACAGCTTTGTGGTTAGTATTTGGAATTTTTGTGAAGCTGTCTGTGGTCTTTTTCTAGATACAATGGATAACTGGGATGAGAAGAAGCTGGAAGAAGTGGTGAACAAGAAGCATGGTGAGGCGGAAAAGAAAAAACCCAAAACTCAAATAGTATGTCTCTTTTTTTTTTTTTTTAATTGAGCTGTAGTAGAGAGAATTTAATTGCAGACTGGTATTAGATATGTTTATCGTTATCTAAAGATTTTGAATGGAATATTATAACAATATTCTGAGTATACAGTTGGACTTATAGGATTACTATTAATATATTTAAAAAAACCCTGACAAACCAAAACAAAAAATCCCACCCCAAAGCTCTTTCAGTCATCATAAGATATTTTCTCATGTAAAATACAAACAGATAGTAGATGAAGTGCTTTGAAAATAGAAATGCTAAAGGAATCAGTAATATATCTGATGCATCCTACTTGCTTAGAAGGTTCAAGTATTGCCATTAGTTAGGTCTGTCATCTCATCCAAGTGACTGCCATATAGATTTGCTGCTTTATGTACTGGGTGACATAGATGCAGATAAGTTTAAATTTTCTCCTGTAAGCTGAAATTTCCTAATTGAGAGTCATTTGTAGTTCCTGACCTCTAACTTCAAGAATATTCTTTGGTTTGTACACTAAGTGATAGAGTATCTTAATCCCTTTTTTTATTCTTAAGTACTATTTGACATTGTTTTCAGTACCAAATAATTAAATATTCTATTGATGCTGCCAAACTGTGATAAGGCGAAGTGTGAACTGTGACTTGCTTGTTGAAAGTTGCAGAATGGCATCTTTACCTCAGGATCATGAGCTGGAAGGTTTAACATCTGAGAGAGGTTCAGTTGATTTTGATTAAAAGTACACTGATGTTGGTGAGCAGGAAGAGAGAGAGTGTCAGCATGCTTTTACGCATGCTGCTGGGTTTACAGTAGTACAAGTTGCTCTTCTGAGTCATCCGGTCTTTTTAAATTGGGATGATGTTAAGGGGAAAAAGCTGTTGACTATATGAGTTTTAGATAATCAGTTGCACTACTTTTGTGTACTTTCTTAGTAGCAATACGTTTCTCCTGGTTTGAGCTAAACCAGAACTAATTCTGTTCAGTGATTTTACTTTTTAGCTCAGCCTGTTCTAAGCAACTGCACTTTCTGAAATCAACAGCATGTGACAACATTTCACATTTCTTCTGTTTTGAGCACAACTGGCTCTGAATGACTGTACTTCTGGCATGTAGTACCTATACGTGGAGTGTAAATTGCTGGGGCTGCAAAGTGAATGCGGTGCTAACAGCTGCTGTTTTATACAGGTCTGCAAATATTTCCTTGATGCTATTGAAAACAACAAATATGGATGGTTTTGGGTCTGTCCAGGCGGAGGAGACAACTGTATGTATCGCCATGCTCTCCCTCCGGGTTTTGTGTTAAAAAAAGACAAAAAGAAGGAGGAGAAGCAAGATGAAATTTCTTTGGAAGATCTAATAGAAAAAGAGGTACAGTTGTCAGACAGATACCTTTTCGTGGTATTTGATTTCATTGCTCCAAAGAGATAGTTGTAAAGAACTTCCTAATTTCTAATTAAAAAGTGTAACATGTTTTTGTAGCTGTATGAGCTAGGGTGAAGGTTGTGTGGTTGTTGATTAATTTTTGTTCAGAAACTGTTACCTAGTGAAAAAACTGTAGCTGCATACTTGGTGCAGGTGTTGCTAACCTTTTTTTAGGAGGCTGCTATTTCTTACTGCTGTTTTTCCCTTGCCTATTACAACTGCTTCTCATCCCCAGTCACTGCCTCCTTAGTTCTTGTGTGACGCTGTAATGAGGAAGCAACACCAAGGGCCTTCTGAAGGCGTTGTTTGCTGCTCTGCTTGTTTCTGTCACCGTTGCCTGGCAGTGCCAATTGGAGGAGAGCCTGAGCTATCATCATTGGTTTCTTTCCTCCTCTACTTCTCACGTTCTCTTGCATGTTGGCTCATCTCACTAACAGGAAAATGGTGTCTTGAGTCAAGCTTTAAGCTGATGGTGCATGCTTACCAGTGGTGAGAGGGAAGAAAGAATTGGAAAGAAATGTTTTTAGTTAGTTTCTGGAAAAGTGTCATTAAATCTCTAATCTGTTATAGCTTTAATTTTTAGCATTAATCAGTCTCTTTTACTTGACAGCGTGCTGCCTTAGGACCAAACGTTACCAAAATTACTCTAGAGTGTTTTATCGCATGGAAGAGAAGAAAACGACAAGAAAAAATTGATAAGGCCGAGCAAGATATGGAGAGGAGGAAAGCAGATTTTAAAGCCGGCAAAGCATTGGTGGTATGTTCTACAGTCCAATTCTTAGTGTAAGAAGAAAGAGTAACTAAGTTTTTGTAGTAAGGTAGCTGGGTAGCTGGCCTGAGATTGCTTTTCTTATTCTTTTCTTTTTGGTTTTTTTTTTTTTTTTACAGCAGTATAAATTCTATGGAGTGATAAATTAAGATTTCTTTTTCTGTGAATAGATTAGTGGACGTGAAGTATTTGAGTTCCGACCAGAGTTGGTTGATGCAGATGATGAAGAAGCAGATGACACCCATTATATTCAAGGAACAGGAGAAGATGATGAGGTAAAGAACTCTAACTTGAATAATATCTCAAGCTACGTTCAAGTTTGAAAACTTTTAATTTGAGAGCTCTTACAGTGTAATTAATAAGCTTGGGTCTTAATTTAACACTGCTACAGAGCATATTTTGTCAAAATTTTGGTGTCAAAAGGGAGGTTAGAAAAATGTTTTAAAATCCTGCGGCAATGAGTAATTCATGCAGAGCATCTTGGTTTATTTTTCAGATGGAGGACCCAGTGTGCATAAATGAGGTAGATTTGAACCTGTATGTGCCAAAGGCTGTAGATGAGACTGGTATCACTGTGGCTAGTCCTGAGCGATTCAGCACGTACAGTTCGATAGAAAAAGATGGTAAGTTCATTATTTAGGCATCGCTAATATGAGATTGAATTAAGAGCTTCCCAAAAGGTAGATAGAAATGAATTACTGATCTGCTGAAAAGAAGTATTTGTTTGAAAAGAACAGGGGAGTGAAATTACTAGCAGTGACAGGTGTAGTTACTAAAGAAAAAGCTTATAGTAAATGCTGTGCACTTGCTCTTTTCTTAAATGCAAGTTTAAATAAAAGGTAGCTTTTATGGCCACTTCAAGTAAGTCCTTAAGATGATTTTTTTAGCAGTTTCCCTTTGTTTTCAGATCGAATAAATGATTGAATGAATAATATCGACAAAAATCCAAGCTTTTCTTCATATTTTCTAGGTAGCTTGTGTCAGCTTGTAATTTCTTAGAGCGAAGTCTTGATCTTGGTGCACTTGTGGAGTGCATACCCTGATCTTTAAGACCCTGAGTCCTTTAAGTGCAGGCATTGAGTAGGAGTGGCTCATTAAGTTTAACCCGGTTATGGAAGCAGGAGTTTGAGGAGTTGGGGGGTTGAGTTTTTTCAACCTGTTTTAATAATTGATGATCCAAGTATTAATTGATATGTCAGATATTAATTGGGTACATGCAATTTAACCCGTATAAGTCTACAGAAATTTCAAATAAAGTAACCTTATGGTTTCAAAACTTTAAAGCCTGCTTAGTAGGATTGTGAATTAGTGATTAAGAAACTCGTGACACTGGAATGTGTAAGAATTATTTTTATTTTCAGATAATAAATTAAGTGAAGCTTCTGGAGGCGATATAAACAGCAGTGAGCAAAACAATTTAGAGGAAGATAATGATGGAGATGGGGAATTGGAAAATGGAGTAATTGATGCAGTTCCAGTTGATGAAAATCTTTTTACTGGAGAGGACTTGGATGAACTAGAAGAAGAACTAAACACTCTCGATCTAGAAGAATGAATTAAAAAGCTCAAGTGAGGAGTTAAATCTATGTGACAAAGTGAAAACTGACTACATTTTTTCTCCTTTTTGAATAGAATTCTTAAACAGGATGTTTGTGGCTACCCAGCTGATTCTGATGGGCACGTCATATACCAGGAATATTTTCCTTCAGTCTCATCTACTGCAATCTTGACTATGCTCACAGTAAACTATTCAGAGTAGTTCAGAATTACCTGGCAGCTGAATGTGCAGAAAATGAGATTATAACTTTCAACTAAAAGTAGGAAGTGTAACTGCTTTGCCAGTTGCAATTTGATACCAGGTACAGTATAAAAATCGAAGTATTCATTCTTCACCAGAACTGCATTTTTGTTAGTGATTGTGGATTTAGAAACTGCCTGAAGTGTTTTTAGGCAGTCTACTCTAATGGAGCTGATGCAGGTTATGCTTCTTTAAGTGATGATTAGCTTTATTTGAACAGCTGGATACTGAAGATTGTGAACTGATACATCATTGGATACAATATGGTGCCCTCTGTTTAAAATGTTTTAAATTTTCCCACCGCCTTTTGCCAACAAAACTGTAAATAAAATCTATCAACTTTAAAATACCTGCATTGATTTTTCTCTGTTAAGTTAGGATATCATACCAAACTGTTAATAACTTAATTTCTCTAATACAGCGACAAACATTTTTCTCTCCAGTCCTGATACAGAAGTGATCATGTTGGCTTCAGTTAAATTAGGGCTAACTGCAATTATTTACATTTCCTTTTTTCCTACACTTCATGCAGTGTAAAATTCAGCGGCTGACTTTTTTTACCCTACTGGTCTTACCTCCTACCCATCCATTACCTGATTTAATAGATCACTCATTCCTGTTTGAGTCTCGTTCATTCCCTACCTGTGTTTTGTGTATTAGCAAAGACTTGAGGCTGTGCAGAGCAGGGATGTCATGGTCTGAAAACTGCCTGTCATATCTTCGGGTTCTATAAATAACGTGGAGTTAGGCCATAGTAAGATGCCTCAAAGCGGAGCAGCGTTCTGCCCGGCATTGTGTACCCTGCAGGCAGCACTTGCCATCGGGCTGCGTCCTTTGAAAATCCACTGAATCCCTGCTGTGAGAATTTCTCAGTAGTGGTGCTTTTTCAAGGGGTCTGTAGGTTAGGCCTCCTTGCCGTACTACTAACACTATCTGCAACAGTATTGCTGTACTAATGATACTGTTTGTATCTTTTTTTTTTTTTTCTAAAGCTTTTAAATGACTACTTAAAGAACATTAAGATTCGTGGCATTGTTAGTGAGCTTTCTCAAACTGCTTTTGGGCGGTAATACTAGCTTTAATGGTTATTTCTGACACTGCTACATTGACTCTGGTATCTCGAATGTGATTTCTAAAATAGCTGACAAACTTTTTTTTTTTCCCTTTTTGGGATCTTTGTGGAATTACTCTCCTATAGGAACAAGAAGCAGTGTTTGGGAAAGAGGCCTACTGAAATTGATTTCTAAATGTAAGTGTTGGAGGAAAAGCTGCAATACCAGATATAAATATTTATGGAGATTTTTCTCCGATGGCTGTAAATAAACAGTGTGGACAGACTACTGTATTAGACTGGCCAGCAATAGGATACCTGGGTATCAGGACATTTAAGAATGCAATTCGTGTTTGAATGTATGATGCATAATTTTTCAAAGTTGTATATTTTAAATGGGAATAAAAGTAATTTAATCATTATCAGGGGTGAAAATGGCTTTCTATGTCTTGTGTCTTAGAGGCTGGTAGTACTGATTTCTATAATACTGTTGTGTTTGAATGATTAAATAGGTTAAATCTTTGCCACAGTTGGGGTGATGTTAATTATTTGCATTTCACATGGAAGGAATGACAGGGTAACTCATGCTGATTTCAACAAATAAAACACTGAGGTAGATGGGCCGAGAACATGTGCGTGCTCTGTTGGGCCTAAAGGGCTCAGTTGTGGCGCAGAGCTCTTTTGTGCATGTGTCATTTGAACATTAGGACAGTCGCCTTGCGTAGTATTTAAATATGTTGAGTATCTGTAAGCTAGTTGAAGAAAAAGTTATTCTTATAGGCAGTACTTATTGAGAAATTATTTCATGTGGTCAGGAGACAATTGTTCGCTCTTCCTTTTCGGTTTTGATCCTTTCAACCTATTTTGGCACTTGTGACTGGATTTGTTCTAGCCTCTTGGCTTGGTTGCTCTGTCTAGATTTCTGCCTGTGAAAGCAGGATGACTGCTTTTAAGGAAGTCTGTGTCAGTGTAGCATTCAGGTATGGTGACAATATGCTGCTACTTGTTCCTTCTGCGTGAAGATAGGCTTGAATATAAAAGGCCTTCCTTAGGGTAGAGGAATTATTAGTATTTAGGAAACGAGCACTGTGGTAGTGGAGTCCACCTGAATGTGGCCTACCACTGAGTAGTTCCTCTTGATGCAACTTTTCAGAAATTAATCTGATACAAAGTAAATGAGTCACTTGTGGAAAAATGAGGTATAATCTGAATCCTAAAACAGCAGTATTCACTTCAGTCACTGTCCAGTTTGTATGGGTCAAAACCAGTATTTCACTGTTTGTGTGAATGTACAGGAGCAGAAAGTCTTGGTCTGAGACACTTATTGGGTCAAGGTCAGGCTGTAAGGGACCATAAGCCAGGGCAGAAACGCCTTTGTAATAAACTTCATTCTTATCCCTTGCAGCCTGCACTGCTCTTTGCATCATCTTGTTTTTCTCATAACTTCAATGAGCACTGTGTGAGAAGTGTAACATAGCTGTGGCTTTGATGCTTCTGGAGGAAGCAGGCTAGTGTAGCTCTACCTTCACAGCACCTTTGTTACTGGACACCTCTGGACAAAACCAATTTAAAAAGTGCTGCAGAAAAGCCATGCCTGTCCTTCCTGGTGTTTGCTGTTGCAGCAGCAGAGCATTTGTTGTCTTTCAATGTTGATGTAAGTTAAAATCCCATTTCTGTCACGCACAGAAACTGCTTGAACTGCTTCCACTGGCTAGCTTTAAATTCTGATAGGATTTTTTTTGAGACCTGCGTAATTGAATTTTATGCTTGACACTGCTTTGTTACTCAGAGCTCCCTAATTGTTTTATAATAAACAGTCTTGATAAAGGCCTGCAAAAAATTTGGAGAAAAATTAACTGTAAAGACTGGCCTTAAATACTACATTATCTATTAGTTGTTTGTAGCAGAAATGTTGCCATTTCTTGGTGGACAACGTTGACCAACTGCTCTTTATCAAGGAGGTTTTACTATTGATAAACTTTGAATGAAGCAGTGGTATTCTTGGGAATTTGGTGTTGTCATAATAGATTGTGTTTATTTAGCAAATACATTGTAAAGAAAGAACTCGAACATACAAATTAGGATTATCTTATGAATATTTTCTTTCACGGTTCTTTACTCAGATGTGAGGAATAACAAGTGTCAAAAAGTAGGTCTTGGGCATTCCAAATGCTGATTTCTACTTACTTTGTGATGTTTATGCCCCTTTTTAAAAATTAATTGAATTTAGTAAGCAACACAGGCTTGAATATTTTGTAAGCTTATATATCTTGCCAATACCATACTTGGAAGTTTCATAAACAGTGTTTGTTATTCTTGTTCCACATGCTGCTGTTTAACAACTTACTGAAACTGTAGACTGGTTAAGTGACTTAACTGAAAATCGTACAAGGTTAGATCTTTGTTTCCCCTCGCAGTGAAATTATTGCAGCCCTAAACTGAGAGAATGGGGTTGCTGTCATATGCAGGTATCTGTCTCATATTCAGGAGAAGTATCTTGGGAAAAAGACCCCCTGAATAATATCAAGAAGAACAGAAAGAGAATTGGAAAAATGAGATTTGGAAAGGCCACAGGAACTGCTAGAAAAACCTGTAACAGCAGCCGCACTGTGTCAGACCAAGAGACCATTTGTCACAGTCCAGAAACCAGACACGTGGGGAAGAAAGAGGTAAGAAAAGGACAAGCCCACGTACTTCTCAGGAGAGCATTGTTTCTTCCTTCAATCCCTGTACATTTTTAGAATCTTTTGGAAACCAAACAGTTCCCCAGCTCTGTGACATCTTGTTTTGAACATGACTCCTCCTAGCTTGTATTGTTAGATCTCTAGGGAAGAATACTTAGAGGAAGTGATACCCTATGCCTTCCTTTGCTTTGACTTGATGCCAAGTAGAGAAAGTGGATATAAAAAAAAGTCGATACATCTTTTTTTTTTTTTTTCCCACAAAATTAGAAACTTTATCTCTCAAAGTGCTTGATTCTTTGTTACAATTGGGCCTTAATCAGCAGGATCTTTAATGATGCAAATAGGCTTTGTTCCTGGTTATGTACTGGATGTATTTTGTGTAGCTATGGTCACCTTAAGTGCTTTTACAGTGGTATCTGCGAATCGCCCTTCTCT